TGCTGCTGGGGTGGAGGAGGAGGTGCAGCGCCGGCCCCGGCGCCATGGTTGGCCAAAAGCCCGTTGGGGCTGTGGATGGCACCCGAGATGCGCGACGCCACAGGCTGGTGGATGGGGATGGAGCCGGCCGAGCTGTGGTGCGGCTGCTGGCCTTGGGGCTGGCCCTGCTGCTGCTGTGAGGGCGGCGGCGGTTGGGGCGGGTACGGCTCACGCTGCAGCTCGCGCGGATCGCGTTCGCGGTCACGATGCGCCATGGTGTCTAGGAGCGGCTGTGTGTGGGGGAGGGTGACGTTGTTGGGCAGCTAAAGGGAGCTGGTGTCGCGGATTGTTGAGCTCTGGCTCGTGCTCGCGATCTCGGTCAAATGGTAGGTAGGCGTGTTGGTCATAACTCGCCGACGCAGAAAACTGGCGTGGAGAGATACATTTAGGGACGTCGAAGAACACGATGGGCCGAAACTGGATCGAAAACGGTTAGCAGCGAGCGAGAAAACGATGCGAAACGGGGCAAAGACAAAAGCTGTGACGAGGGTCGAGAGCTCCCTTTTTGCTGCGGAGGCCATTCCTCCGGAGAAAGGCCACACCGGGGAGGGACCTCAAGCAGCAACGCACCTGGAAATCAATTGTGCCTCGTCAGCAGACCGTCGCCCGTCAAGACTGGCACCCGGGTCTCGACTGGTCAGCGTCCCACGAAGCTCGTCAACAAAAGTCGCACGAAGCGATCAGTCGAGGCCACAGGGGAGACGCGGCGCAGCAGGCGACAAGCGGGCGACGCAACGTGCGAAGCAACGACCGAAACGGCAAAAGGGAAATCGATACTTCAAAATGCAAAAAGAATCGAGCTCGTGGCAAGGCTGGTCGGCATACAATCGTCGCTCGCAGATGCAAGAGGCGCGTGAAGGGGGGGGGGGGTACAAAGAGGGAGGAAATGAAGCCAGAAAGGGCAGCGAGTTTTGCGCGAGCGAGGCCGAAACAAGCCCCCAGCTTCGCACCTTCCCCCAAAGCCTGGCGTCACGGCACAAAAGGAGAGGGCTGGATTTTCTGCCGGCCCGACCTCGATAAGCGATAAGAAAACAGCCTAGGGGAAGGGGCGTGTTATCTGTCCGTTGACGGCGACAGCAGTGCCCCAGTTTTAGTCACGTGATGATACAGGTACACATGCACGTGATTTTCTGTTTACATGGTGGACTACGGTACTTAAGACCATACAGAAGTATCTAGCCTCGCTGTTGAGGCCTCTCTATTTTCCAGTTGGCGTCTAGTTCCTCTTCATGGTGAGTGTGACGACCAAGGCTACAGAACGATGATGCGTATGGAGTACGTATGAGACTTGATTATAACTGTATCAAGGTCCAAGGATACAAGGATATATATTAAATCTATGATTCTGGACGGCGTGTGAACGGGGCCATGTGATGTTGTGACAATGTAGCCGTTCAGTTCAAACCATCAAGATAAGCACGAATCAAAGTTATTGAAATAACAGAAAGCGCAGAAGACAGATTCATTTTGTGTAATCGTATTCCTCGTAGGTGAAAGGTAAAAAGACAGTCACGAGCCCAACCGTAATGACAACGCCATAGGAAAAAAATGAGACTCGCCAGCAAGACATAGCAAACCAAACCCAACGGAGCCAAAGAGAAAAAGCAAAAGGCAGCCGTAAGCCATAAGCCGCCGCAAGACACGCAACGTAGGTATAAAGGAATGTCCATCTCGTCATAACAGGTACTGCCCCATTACATCGGCGGCAGCGTCAAATCCTCGGGCAACTACGACGAATAATTGCGCACGCCCTTGATGATCCACTAGACGTAGGTTAGAATGAAACGACTCGAGATAGCAACACGCGGGGACACGACGTACCACCTGGCCATTGGCAACCGTGCTGGCGACACTCGCGACTTCAATGTTGCCAGGTTGAATCTGAGCTGTTAGTACGAGAACAAACCAGAAAGTACAATACATCCCAACCTTCTCAGGTCAGACTCACCACTTTCGTGCCGTCAGAGCGCGTCTCCCACCACACCTCGCCCGCGCCCGCCATGGCGCTGGCCTTTTGCTTCTCCGGCCACGGGCTCACGGGCACAATATGCGCCTCCACAAACCGCCGCAGATTCTGCTGGGCACGCTCCTGGCCGTCGCTGCCCTCATAGGCGTCGGCGCCCAGCCTGTGGTAGTCCTGCGGGTCCTCCCAGGGCTTGCGCGGCAGGGCCTCAATGGCCGAGTTGAGCGGCGCCAGCACCGTCGAGTTCTGTGTCGCATCGTCGAAGCGGTTTGTGATGGGTGCAAAGTCGCGTGTGAAGCCGGCAAAGACATTGATGCTGCGGTCGCGGCCAATCACATCAGACAGGATGACCGTGCCGGTCTCGGGCGGCGGGCCCGTCGTGTCGGAGCCGTCGCCCGGCTGAACCGGGATCGCCGGACCGGCCGGGGGCGGAGGAGGAAGAGGCATGACGAGAGGGTTTTGTGGTGCTTCGCCGTCGATGACAGCGTCGAGAACAATGCGAGGAGGTTGTGGCTGCTGCTGCACGACAAGCTGTGCGACGGAGACGAGACTCAGCGATGCGATGATGGGCACGTGTGCCAATCTCATGGTTGCGATTTGACAGCAGGGAGAGGGGAGAAGAACAGAGACAATGTGAGAGACAATGCGAGAGACAATGCGAGATGCCCAACAAAGGCTCAAGCGGTTACGAGGCGATCGTAGTAAGGCAGTAAGGCTACCGGCAACAGACAGGGCAGGAGCTGTAGTGTGGACCCAATGATGTCAAAGACAGCAAGAGCGCATGGTCTGACAGTGAGAGCGATACTGACAGTGGTCACCTGCCTGAGACAATGACGCACATGGACCTGTCACAGAGAGTGGGGATCTGTCGCCTCGTAAACGAAAACGATGCAAACCACGTGACCGTTCCAATGCAGCACGTGCCATTAACAAATGTCGGCTTTTGCAACAATCCACAGCCTCACTTGCAGAGACTCTGCCAGCATGTCGTTTAGGTATGCCTCGGTGACTCTCGTAGGTGCACTATCTCAACCTACAATGTAAGATACAGAGTCGTAACGTCAACCCCCAAATGGTCCACCAAGACGCCACAAACGCCGTAAACAGAGAGCAGTCTCCGATCCTCCTCCGCGCTGTTCTTAACCCTAACTGAGTACGAACTACATATTACAGGTTGGCCATCGGGAGGAATCCACCGCCAACAGGCATTTCCAGTTCCGTGGACTGTGAGTGGGCCGACAGCGGGCAATAGACAGAGGTTTGCAAACCAACGAGGTCCACCTAGAGTATCAGGGGTAGACATGCCCGATCAGGAAGACGTAGGAGTGTTTCCACCCGGTATTACCAGAGCGAAAGGGTTGCCGTCGCCATAGCGAGAGAAGCACACTGTACTTAGTGCGTGAAGTGAGCTGACCGAAGACGCTGGCGGAGAAACACCATTTTGGGAGCGGCTCGTGTCAGGTGACCTTTCCACTTGAGGATTCAGTCAAATGACAGACAGACAAATCGAACCGACGCCGCCGATAAAAGATCCTCGGAAATATGGAGGATGGACGGTCATCTTTTATTGTTTACGGAATCACTTATTTTACGTGGCAGCGTTTGGCCCGGGTCGATTGGCGATTTCCCCAGTGCGCATGTTGCTCAAATGGTAGCTGTTGTTTGGGAGTTGAAGGTTGCTATTTGCGGAGACCCCGGACTTCACAGTGACATGTGAAAACACCCGCACATCGGGAAAATTGCCACATTAAGACTCCCTCGTGACAGCACCTAACGTTCCCAAAGGCCAAGGTGAGAACAAGAGCGATGGACAGACAGGTGGAATGGGCAGGAATATAGACAGGAACGACATATATCCAAGAACATGTGTTGCATAAGGGACAGATGAAATAGATAGGGCAGGACGACGGTCGTCCTGACGCGCCTTCTAATAGATTTCCTCGTCCGTCAAAAGGAAAGCATATTCTCTCTGGTTGGTCTTTCTGGCTGGCTGATTCGTAAGCCTGCTCTTTCCTCCTCAGTACGACCGAGATTACTGCGTACAATGCATCGCTACGATGCTATGGGTCTGCGAATGTGAGCGGCATCTTTGGAGGCTGTTTGTTACTCGTTCGTCCATTTAATGCGACACTTTATTTCTATCGTTCTCCGTCCATCGCCTTCGCGCCCCAGCACGATAGCTCCTGCCGTTTGGCCGACAGATGAGGTTGGTTCCTGAAAATCGATGCCGGCTGGTCGCTCCTTCCCTAGGTCTGGCCACTTTTGCGCTTCGTTCTAACGACTCGGAGACCAGGGGAAGTGGGCTCTCCATGCAGAAGCACAACTGGAGCGGGCCTCGGCACAAGCTACTGCGCGCTTTGCAGACACGAGTACTGGGGCGCGACTCGTGTGAGCAGGCGCTCGGCCTCAGCTACAGCGACCGCGAGACACATGCATTGGCAAGAGTAGGAACAAGAATTGGGTAAATAGAGGAAGGAACGAGCGTGCTAGAAACGAGGAAAGAGAGATATTCAATGGTTTTTGTTTGTTTTTTTTGGTTTAAAAAATCTAGCTGGAAACGGCCACAGTGAAAAAGGAAAGCGCAAAGAATGCTGGACCGAGACAAGGAGGAGCGGTCCTGGCATGCAGCTACGATGTAGGAGCAAAACCGCTTGCAGCAGAGTGCGGTTGCCGGGTTGGGCAATTATGCGGCGGATCTTACAGTGAACACCAGCCCCGAGACAGTGGGATTTGTAGCGACTTCCTCAGTACTGAGAGTAAACACGTCCCCTACGCCCCCCTAATTATGTTCCTTCACCTCAGATAGTCTGACATATTGATGGGGATTACTGAGGCCGATGCGACGATGAACTGACGGCTCGCTCGTGGCAACAATGACCGCCCTGTGGCCTGCAGCGATTGCAGGTGATGTGATAAAGTCAGACGGCCAGGTTGACCTCGGCATTCTGGAGCTCCACTCCTTTCTGCTGTGCACTTTTCAGTGGCACGAATCAGCGTGTCAGCAGTTCGGCTTAGCTCGCCAGGTAATCTTAAGACTAAGCTCTAGGCGGGTTTTACTGGAGAAATCACGACTCCAGTGGTCCCAACAGGCTCCGAAGCGAAAACCGCCCATCGCACCTGCCCCGTAAACCCAGTGCCGAACTCCAAACTCCAATCCCACTGCCCCATAATTCCAGAGCGGCGAAGAGGCGAGCACAAGCCAAAAACAGCAAGTGCAGCCCCACTGCCGCAGTGAAGAAGCTACGCATGACGGCGTGTTACAAGGGCAGCCACGGAGGGAAGCAACGAGGCAGGCGCATGCCACTGCTCCTGCTCCGCCTGGAGTAGCCAAGGCACTCGACAGATCCGCGGCCAAACCACGACCATTCTTGCTGCTGCTCTTAGTTCTCCAGACTATTTTCTTTCGTTTTCTACTTTTCTTACCTTGTGGTCCGTTTTGTCCTGGTGTCCGCTCTTGTACCCTTTTTCTACCGTCCTGTCCGTATTTCTTCCGACTCTTTCTTCCTTTTTCTTTCTTCTCCCCATTCGTCTCCAACTCTTCCCTCTTTTCTCTCCTCCTCCCGTCCACACATCTCTCATCATCACCACCTTCTTTGCCACTGCTCTCGTTGGCATTCTCTTGAGCTTCTTTTCTTGTCGTTTTCCTTTCCATCCTCGTTTACACACAATCCATCGCAATGGCTCCCAGAGTGATTGTTGTTGGTGGCGGCTGTACGTAGTGATCTGACCCTCTGTCACATGTGATTCCCAGCCCGCATCGCATCGCGAGTTGCCGCTCACCAGGCAACATCCGTTGCACACAACGCATCATCTTGCTAACCGTTCTTCTAGTGTCTGGCCTGAGCGCTGCTCACACCATCTACCTCGCCGGCGGCAACGTCGTTGTCCTCGACAAGCAGAGTACGTGAAGACCATTCGTCTGGATTCGTCTGGATTCGTTTTTTTTCTTTTGGTTGGTCCACGTTCACTAACACCTCAACTCCAGGCTTCTTCGGTGGCAACTCGACCAAGGCCACCTCCGGCATCAACGGCGCCCTGACGCGCACACAGGTTGAGCTCAACATCCAGGACAGCGTCAAGCAGTTCTACAATGACACGCTCAAGTCGGCGCGCGACAAGGCCCGGCCGGATCTGATCCGCGTCCTGACCTACAACTCGGCCTCGTCCATCGAGTGGCTGCAGGATGTCTTCGGCCTCGACCTGACCCTGGTGTCCCGCCTCGGTGGCCACTCGCAGCCGCGCACCCACCGCGGCCACGACGCCAAGTTCCCCGGCATGGCCATCACCTACGCCCTGATGCAGCGCCTGGAGGAGCTGGCCGAGCAGGAGCCCGAGCGCGTGCAGATCATCAAGAAGGCGCGCGTCACCGGCCTCGTCAAGGACGGCAACCTCGTCCACGGCGTCACCTACGAGGCCAACGGCGAGACCAGCTCGCTCGAGGGCCCCGTCGTCCTGGCCACCGGCGGCTACGCGGCCGACTTCACCAACTCGTCGCTGCTCAAGAAGTACCGCCCCGACACCTACGACCTGTCGACCACCAACGGCTCGCACGCCACGGGCGACGGCCAGAAGATTGTCATGTCGATTGGCGGCAACGGCATCGACCTCGACAAGGTCCAGGTCCACCCCACGGGCCTGGTCGACCCCAAGGACCCCAAGGCCAAGACCAAGTTCCTGGCGGCCGAGGCCCTGCGCGGCGAGGGCGGTCTGCTGCTCAACGCCGACGGCGACCGCTTCTGCGACGAGCTGGGCCACCGCGACTACGTCTCCGGCATGATGTGGAAGGAGAAGGACAAGGGCAAGTTCCCCATCCGCCTCATCCTCAACTCCAAGGCGTCCAACGTGCTGGACTTCCACACGCGCCACTACTCGGGCCGCGGCCTGATGAAGAAGATGACGGGCAAGGAGCTGGCCAAGGACATTGGCTGCTCGCCCGAGCACCTGCAGAAGACGTTCCAGACGTACAACCGCATCGCCGACGGCAAGGAGAAGGACCCCTGGGGCAAGAAGTTCTTCCACAACCTGCCCGTCGACATCAACGACGACTTCCACGTCGCTCTGATGGAGCCCGTGCTGCACTTCACCATGGGTGGCATTGAGATCAACGACAAGGCCCAGGTCCTCAACCAGGACAAGCAGCCCTTTGAGGGCCTGTACGCCTGCGGTGAGCTGGCCGGTGGCGTGCACGGCGCCAACCGCCTGGGCGGCTCGTCGCTGCTGGGCTGCGTCGTCTACGGCCGCGTGGCCGGCGACACCGCCAGCAACTACCTGTTCCAGAAGGCGCTCAAGTCGACCGGTGCCGGCTCGGCAGCCCAGCGCCTGGGCCAGATCTCGCTGCACATCGACCCCTCGCAGCCGGGCAAGGTCTCGGTCGAGTGGGGCAACGGCCAGACCTCGTCGGTGTCGGCCAAGAAGGGCAGCAGCGACGACGGCGAGGGCGGCTCCGGCAGCAGCGGCGCGGCCGGCGGCGGCTCGGGCGCCAGCGCGTCGGGCGCGGCTGCCTCGTCGGGCGCCAAGGCTGCCTTCGCCATCCCCGAGAAGGAGTACACCATGGAGGAGATTGCCAAGCACAACACCAAAGAGGACCTGTGGGTTGTTGTCAAGGGTGTTGTCATGGACCTGACCAACTGGCTGGACGAGCACCCGGGCGGCCCCCAGGCCATTATGAACTTCATGGGCCGCGATGCCACCGAGGAGTTTGAGATGCTGCACGACGACGAGGTCATCCCCAAGTACGCCCCGAGCCAGGTCATTGGCCGGGTAAAGGGTGTCAAGCCTACTCTGGAGTTCTAGAGGAGCGAGCGGCAAGACCAAACGAAACCACACAAAAACTATTCTACAGAAAAAGTGAAAGCAATGGGAGAGGCTCGCCCTGTGCTGGATTGTTGGATATGATTTGAGTTTTTGCTCCTTGGCTTGTATTTGGCCTGTATTTCTTCTTTTTTTTTCGCATTTTTGCATCTCTTTTGTCCTACTACTCTATATTGTAAACTGTTTCGATCTTGATCCTTTCGTGTCTTCATTTCTCTCTTCTTGCCCACGTTGGGCCTTGTACAAAAGAAAATAAGACAGATTGTTAGGCTGCAAAAGAAAAATTCCCCTAAAGTCCTGCCCATCGTCATCTCTTGCAAATCGTGAATATAAAAACCGCCCCCGTCTGCGATACAATGTGTCCACTGCCCGTAAAAACAAATAAACAGCAATTGCAACATTGCTGTACGCCGCACGCTGCCGCCCTACACATTCGTCGTCGTCGTGGCATGTGAAAGTCCCAGCGTATCCGATCATGTGAAAGTCGCCTCCCATCGCTAGGGGACCCACCTCTCCGCCATCTGACCCCAAATGCGTCCAGCACCGGCCAACCATAGCCCAACCCTGGCACCTCATGCGTCACAGCACTTCCAACCTTTATGCGTTTCCTGGCTCCTCCCGTGTCGTCCGCGTCGGCCTCTATTTTCTAGCTGGCAATTGGTCACTACGACATGCCTCTGTCGGACCGTGCATATCGTCACCACGCCTTCCGTCTGGATTTCCTAAGCGTCCCTAATTGCTCGTGGCCGCTGCCGGACCTCATGATCCTCTGCTCCTCCATCATCGAACGAAACACGGTCTCCGTGTCCGTTTGCGTCTGCCCGTGTCCGTCCAAGGAAACGCGTGCTTCCGCCATGCCCAACCCCCTATCCGTTCCTTGCGAATGTCGATACTTCTGTTGTCCCGTCGTCACCCCGGAACACAATGTTTTGAATGCATAAAAGAACGGGCTTGCTGATTTGCCTTTGCTGTTCTTCCATTGTCCCGGGACCCGCATTGTGTCCAGACTCGCTCGTGGACAGCGTCTGCAGCACTGCTTGCATGGTTGGCTTCCCTGCTATCGACAGTCGTTTTCTCGGTGGTTTTTGCCAGTCGTCGGCTTGGTCGACGGCGACCACAGTGTGCGTATGTGCTTTCGCCTCGACATTGAGCGGCGTCGTGATACCGTAGAGGCGTAGGCTATTTCGACCGTGTCGTCGGTGGTTGTCGCCCGGCCAAAGTCACGTTTTGTAGTGTAGGTCGTCGTTGCATTGCGAATGGACAAGATGAGCTCTGTCGTCGACTGCAGACTGCAATCCATCACATCGACAACAGACAGGAGACGGAGTGGTCGTGCGATTTGCGCAGTGCTGAATCAGATGTGCTAAAGGTCGGGAGCATGACGGCGCCAGTATCTCGCCCGTCGTCCTCGCCTGACGGTATGTACATCTGTCCCAACAGTCGTCGGATCAAGAGATACGATGGCCACAAAATTATGTGCACTACCAGATACGTTTTTGAGAGTTCCCCCCGGTATCCTGTCCGTATCATGGAAGTTCACACTGGCCAATAAGCAGGGCCCGTGGTGTTTGGTCCTGTAGGCTTAGATTATATGCTTAGATTATATGTCCAAGTTCCACCCATGCCGCGGCGGGTTTGACCGCTATTTCTCGATGTTTCGACGCCAAAGACAAATGGCCTAGTAATGCGACATGCAGCATCATCCCACCGTCTTCTTTCCGCCGTCTTTTGACCAGTGGTATGATATGTATACGCTCACTAGATAGACTTTCAGAAGGCCGACTTAAAAGTGGTGCTGATGGAGAATCCATGTTCTTTTGGCCGTTCAATAAATTATGGAAAGATGCCTACGCTTCACCCGTTTTAGTTTTTCGGTTTTTACATATGCATGCTACAATTCTCAATTTCAGGAGGTGCAACGGAAAGCGAGGCTGGCTCTTTCCTCCTTCCGATGGCAGACGTCACGGCTGCATCCGGGCCGCCGCAACAGGAAGGAGCAAATCGAATAGCCATTTCCAGAAAGGCAGCCCGATCTGTTTTTGATTAGAACCGAAATACGCGACAAAGCCTACATATGTTGCAGGGATGGAGACATACGAAGTCTGCTTTGGCGGTTTGCCATCTAAGTCCACAATTATCGACGTTCGGCATGGTCTCCTACAGCCTGGCACGCACCCTGGGAGTTAGGAGGCTACCAGAATGGTATAACTATGAGAGTCACGGACAATCCGAGGCCTTGTGGGCGATGTGCACCGGGGACAGCGGCCTCCGATGTGAACTGGGAGGTCGGCTGCCAAGCTCCATAGCCGATGTTGCCGGGCCCGGACTGACAGACCTATAAATTCCGCGTCGCCGCAAGCACAGTGGCCGGTCGATTCTTCACGAGATGTTGATCGAGCAGGCCGAGACGGCCGACGAGGTACACGCCGAATAGAAGACAACCACAAAGCAAAAAAGGACGTCTAGGTCACTAGCATACTGCTTGCTTTACTTCCTTGTTGAACCCTACGTGACAGTCGCCAACAACGGCTCACATGTTACGTTACCGTGCGGTCGTGCAAGATGCAGATCCGCGACTTTCACAGAGATCTCGTCGTTCGGCTCTGTAGCTTGGTTACCAGCCTTTTGAGATCTGCCTCCCCCATGGAGCCGTATCACCACTCTTGCACCCCCGAAAGTGTGGTTGGTTGGGCCTACGCCGGATCTCTACAGGCCATCCACGGTGACGAAAGGGCACCCATATGCAAGCACAAGCACATATTGAGGTGCACAAATGTATGAAGCACAAGAAGAGAAGACGGTATCAAGCAAAACACAGTAGGATGCTGCACCGGATACACCACGCTCTTGTTCCGAGGGAGCACGGCATTGTGGTGCATGTACCCACGGCCAAGCAGGGACAGTGATACAATACCAGATGAGTGGCAGGACAAAGACAAAGATGAAGACAAGAATGGAGGTGTGGTGGCCAGGCTGACGAGTTGTTGCAAAGGCTGAGAGTTCGCTGAACACGGCCAAGGATCACTCCAGAGGGCCATAGACAGGTGGTACGACGACTCGGGGAGCAGAGAGATCGTCACGCTTCTTCTTCCTTTATTCACCAACTCCCTTCCAGAATAGCTGAAATCTGTCGATGTCTTTGTTTGGGAGTCCCAACTTGCATCGTTTCGTTTTCAACTCGGCGACGTACATCAATGTGGCCAGACGGAGGCGTTCTCCTGTGATATTGACTCCATCATGGAGTACTCGGTTTTCTCGGGTTTTATTTAGTTCTTACATTCTCATCTACAAGGAAAGGCCCCTTTTCTCATTTTTCTTCCTCTCCCGTCATTACGGTAATTCTCGGTGGTGTTTGTTCCTTGGATGGCGAGAAGACGGGCAGGATGAAGGTCGAGGAGTCCTGGATGCACCTCTGGTTAGCCTTCTCGTCACCATGCTTTGCCCGAGTAGTTTTTTGTGAGAATCGTTTCTGCATTCTGTTTCTTTGTGCGGCTCTATTTTGATCCGCCTCTGGAATGGACATACCGAAGTACCACCTTGCGGGTTCGTGGGCAACAGAAGCGATGGTCAAAGCGAGACCTCACCTCTGCCGTTGTCTCTCCATTTTCTGGGACTGTTTCCCTGGTTCTCGTGGCGCTGTACCGTGTGCTTTGGGCCGCCAATCTCGTCAAAAGACCCTTTTATTTGTCCAGTCCCAGCCCATGAGCCGTTTTCAGCCCAGCGCGCGGCCCGCACGCCAGTGGCTCCTATCTTATGTTCAGCTGGGGGGGAGCTCAATATTCGCGTCCTAAAAATACACTGCCGTAATTCCACAGTGCTAGACCTGCAGCAGTATGCATACTCCTTGGAGAGAATGGCAGATACGTGACGAAACAAGAACATGTCAGCCTTTCCTCGATGGGCTTTGCTCAATGGATGGGTGAAGCAAGGTTGAACGTTGGACAGGTGGTCCAGCCAGGGAGCTGGAGGCGGGCATGGAAGGTAGAAGGAGAACGATTGGGCAAACGATGTACACGGCAGACGCAGGCAGGATGTATCATGCGTGCTCGCCTGTTGTACAGCACGGATGATGACCTCGTCCAACCGATACCGTCGAGTGATGAAGAGCCATAGAGAGAAACAGTCCCGAGTGAGAGAATAAAAGCCGTGTGTCATGCCGAAATACGCAAAGGTGGTACTGCAGGATGCTGTGTTCTGCAGCCCCAGGAGTGTCCAGCTGTCCAGCGAAGCATCGCCAACATGCAGTGATATATTGTGGCCGTCACGGACAATGCGTCTCCCGAGACCCGTTTGAAGGACATTTTTGCCTTGCACACTATTCATGGTTGCGGTATGCCCTTTCTTGTCATGTCAGTCGTGGCTGGTTTTATTTGTTGAAGGCATATTTCTGGTCATTATCTTTTTTGTCTTTCTTTTTTGTTATTACAACTAAACATTTTTTTTTTCTCTTTTTTGTCTTTCTTTTTTGTTATTACAACTAAACATTTTTTTTTTTCTCTTTTTTGTCTTTCTTTTTTGTTATTACAACTAAACATATTTTTTTCTCTTTTTTCTCTTTCTTTTTTTCTTCCTTTTTTTATCTTGTGGTTCTTAATACACATTCTATCAAATATAATAAAACAAATACAACAATATTCCCCATTTGTTGACCACTACCTACAGAAATTCGGCTACCATCACAATTGCTTGTCGCCCTCCTCCCATTCCTCGCATCTCGTGATGAATGTGCCGTCACCTCCCGACTTTTCGTCTTGTCAGTCGTTCACCACCAGACCCGCTGAAGGTGTAAGCCTGCACCTTCCTCCCCACAGAAATGTGCTCTGTGCTGCGAATTTAGAGTTATGACCCGGATTTAGCCGGCCCACTGGGGGGGAGGATCTTCTCTTCTGGGGGCAATGCTGGGCGTTTCTGAGAGCTGACCACTGATGGGGGCTTCAGTTGAGCGGTCAACGGGAAAGAGCCAAGATTGTATCTTTCAGCAAGAACCGGGGCCAGGTATCTATGCACCTTCTTCCCTCTTGCACATGCAGCCGCCTCTTTTCGTCGAGAAGGAAAGAGGTCCTGTGAAGATGAAACAGAAAGAGCAGCCGAGAGCAGCCCGCTGTCGTTGGCGTATTCCTTCGAGCTACAGAGCAGGAGCAAAGCAGCACGGGCCTGAGAACGAGCAGGCTCGGCAGGATAAGTCTTCCTCCAGGGGGCAGGAACACCCGAGGATGATTGAGGTGGTTTTCGCGTGCACATAAAAGTGGAGAACATCGCTCGGCTCGACCCACTCCGAATTTCAACACATTCGACATTCATGATACTTTTTGGGTGTCCGGAGGATGATGAGGGCGAGAAAGCAACATGACTCGGAGGCGGAGGAAGAAATCGAGCTCCATGTTGGATGTGTTGCAGCGGCGAACCCAAGTTCCACGTGAATTGTGTCAAAAGACCACCACCGGTCGACGATCGTGAATGCTGCCACCAGACCCGTACGAGGCAGACCGAACTGACAGTGCCAACTAAACCGACGTACAAAGTACTGTGTGTTTCTAGCTTTCTGTTTCAACAGAGTAGTCCTTCCTGCAAAGTACCAGTTATCCAAGGAGGGCCGTCGTGCTTCTCGTCTGTTGCTGTACCTCACACGTGCTGTGCCTCTGTTTCTTTGCTGGCCTCACTCAGTCCCTCGGTTTCAGCCCGCAGATGGTCAAATATAGGGAATATTGGTGGAGATTACTGTCACATTCTGGGCAAGCCGTCCGTCAAAAACGAAACGGCCAAAGGTCGTGCGTATGGCTGCAGTGAAGAGAAGATGGAAAGACAGTGGGCCTCGACTTGTTTCTGTTTTGCAAGCCGTTTTCTCCTTTTTTTTTCTTTGGCTTCGTTTGCGAGTCCCCTTTCGTTCGTTTTCGAGCATTATGGGGCCATCAGAAGCTATTTTGATACTTGCCGTTCTGTCCTTTGCAAAGCATTGCCGAGCACGCCGTACAGGGACGATATTGTGCTATGAATTGCCTCGCCCCGTCCAAACTCCAGCCTCTTCCCTGGTCACACTTTTTGCTCTGGTCAGACCCACTGAAGAGGATGTTCACTGTCTGGCCGTCGTAGTTTTTGTGTTTTCTACGACGTACGATCCAACGCCTGCCTTGTGGAGACTTCTTTTATGACATTGACATGAAAGAGCGGCGGCAAGTGTCCGGGCTGCTGGTTCGTTGTAGCATTGGTGTGATTCCAGAGCAATCTACGAAATAAAACGTTGTCGACACGAACGCGAACCCATTATTTTCGATCCACGCGTGTCAAGTCTCTGGCATTCAGAACGTCGCAACAATGACCGAATGACGCGCTGCTATGCACCGGAATGACCAATTCAACGGCCATCGTCCGACCCCAACCATTAAACTCGTAAAGATCCAGCGATCCAGAGATTGCTGAAGACGGAAGGGACCAGCGCGCGCAACGATGCAATCCGAGCCACCGACAACGTGGCCCGTCGCAACCTGCTCTTTGCCCAGGGATGCTGCGCTGTGATCGGCACGCTGTAGGGCCGCTTGATGAGCCCAGGACCCGTGCTGAAGTGAATCTCTTGATCTGTGCAAAGGTTGGGACACCAGCAGATTGGCCACTTTGCAAAGTCTGTTTGACAGCGGCCTCGAGTTTAAACAATACGCGATTTCAGCGTGTTTACTTTTCAACGGCGACTAGCAAAAGTAAGATACATCAACGTGACTAGACCAAGCGGTGCTGTCACGTTTATTTAGCGGTCGATCGAGCAGTATCGCACAACAATAAATGTTGTGTTGTGACTGTATTGTACCAATAACGCAAGGCAGGACGAAAACATCCAGATACTCCTGTACACTTGATCCAGAGGCCTCGAGTCATTGAACTTCATGTGGCCTCATTCGCTCTTCCCTTTTCCAACTTCACGAGTTATTTCACTTTCCCAAGGGTAAAATTAGAGGAGAACGGACGCTTGACGCTAGCGGGTGGGAACACGCTACTCCATTTTCAGCCCTAGCGCATGGGCCAAGTCAAGAGCGGCTGCAGCCAGCAGCAGGTGAGAAATGCGAAAAGAGGGGGAAGGGGCCGTCGACAGTCTTGGAAGTACCTTTGTACCTTGTACCATTGTACCTTGTACCTTTGTACCTTTCAACGTTCATCCTGGGCCTGCTCAGGACTGCCAAACCAAACCGAGATATGTCGTACATATTGCTCAACATCCATATTACCCTCGTTATGACTGTTCCCCCCTTACGAAGTATGGCCCAGTCTCCCAGCTTCGACGTGACCCTGGAATTTGACAGATTTGATTTCGTTTATTTTTATATTCAAAAGGTCGGTGCACTCTGCATCCCGCCCGCTCGTTTTTGTCTCTGCTCTTCCGTCTGACCCCCCGCCTCGTCCCTTGTCCACATTTGCGATTTGCAGGAACACACGAGGATTGGACGAGGATGCTAGAAAGTGGGCTTGTCGGCGCAGGTCACTGGCTGAAAAGAATTGCGCCGTACCACGGAGCGACACAAGATCAACAGCCTCCAGCGTTGCACTGGCACGAACGGGTGGTCAGCCCTGGGAGCTTCCTCGCCTGGACGGCGACACTGGCCAAGCTGCAGGACCTGAAGAAACAGGTATTTTCTGGACGGCAATCAAGTCACAGTTCGCCCACCCATTTTTAGGCCCCGTGCGCAGTCTGGCTGCGCGGATTCATGGCCCTGCGGAACGGAATGCAGCCAACGTGTAGTTGTCTTGAAGAGCAGTGAGGGCGAGGGGCGGGGAGCGAGGGGAGCTCAAGAGAATGTGACAAACTGAAAGAGAAATACAAAGACGCCGAATAGAAACTCCGAAAGAAACGAAGGAACTGACCTTGAGACATCCGACAAGTTGAGGTGGTCTTTGCTCCGTTGAGTGAGGGAAAAGGGAACGGTACCACGACACGCTTGGCGGTTGAGACACAGAGCCAAGAAGAGCAAGCCCCCGTACATGCTCCAAAAGGCTGCTCTTGTCGCACGAATTCCCGTACGTAGGGGGCGGGTAAATGAAGAAATGCGAGGCACGAGGCATCGAGGACAAGAAAAGCCCGGGAAACTATGGCCGAAGAAAAGCGAAAGAGACAAGGCACACAGGCGGACACGGTTGCACGAATACACTGGAACAGTACGTTCGAATGAGAAGATGGAGAGACACAACAGGGGCGGTGCCATAATATTGGACCGTGTCGCACGTCGTAAGTTGACTGTCGGATGAGGCAGGCAGGCTCAAGAAAACCAAGACACGACAAATAACCCCAAGAACACTGCAGTCACAGACAAGACGGACAAGACGCCTCCCCCCAGGAATACCAAGACCACTTAAGAACTCGGGGCAAACAGGCCGGCGAGAACGAGAAAGGACCAGAGATGGCTGCTGCCCGTTGTCGAAAACGTGTTGGCACCCCGTGAACTTGTGCTGGGGAAATCTGACGCCGTCTCGTATTTGATACAAGCAAGGAATACACCAGCGCACCCAATTCGAGTGCTGGCAGGAGGTGCTGTGAGGTCGTCAACAGGTTCCTGCGACCTCGCTTGTCTTCAGAATCACCGTCGAGTCCTGCCAACATATCAGTAAATCGACTTCCCACGCCGCCAATTGATTACTTTCCCATCCCTTTCTCGTGCGTGTGCATTTTCGCTGTACGCTCCGCGTGCTCGATTGGCGTTGGGTCAGCAGCTTAAAGACGACGCAGGCCGACAACTAAAAGAAAGAAACAAATAAGAAAAGGGCAGAGAGATGAGAGAAAGCGGATGTAGTTTTGTGGGTCCGCACGAGACCGACGAACCAATGGAACCGCGTTTCGACCCACCCTTTCTCCTCAGTTCAGGACGGACAAAGCAGGAAGGAGGTACCGGGTACAAATGCAAAGTACCTGCCCTTTGGTAAACAGCGGTGGCAGGGCAGCGTTGGCTCGTCCCCATGTCCATGAATTAAACTTAATGCCAGAAAAAACAAAAAATCTTATATTGGCTGCTTGGGCCATTTGTCTGGGGGAAAGACCGGGTCAACACGCCAAGGGTCAGGGCGCTGCCACGCCAAAGAGGGCCAAGCGGCGCACGACGCCTCGCACGCTTGTACCCAGTACCAAATCCCTTGAGTCCTTCTACGAACTTGCGCAGAACATCTGCGACTCGCTGCTTCAGTGGCTTTGCTTAGTGGCAAACCGCTGCCCCTGCAATGTCTACTGAGTATCTGCCACAGTATCTACCAACCAGCCCCCCTAGTCCGCTCCTTCCTGGCTTCCTGACACCCTTTTGCGCTTCTTGCCCCCCTCGTCCTGGTCTTTTATGAATTCCCTCGTTCTTTCCCTTTGCATTTCCCTCTGCATTTCCTCCCGTCTCACTTTTTCAGGCAGCTCGAGGCAGGCAAAGCCCGTGGTCTGTCTGAAGTTTCCTGTTTGGTCTCTTTATGTCTTGGTGTCTTGGGCCTTTGTCGTGGCGTCGTCGCTTCTCCTCTTCCCTCCCTGGCCCCACTTTCTGATTACCCACACACCCATAACCGCCCACAAACTGCACGCACCGTGGCACCTTCCCCGAACCACCCACAGAATAGCAGACTACCACTTAACCAGAATTTGCCAGTCTTTTTCTTTTCTTCTTCCACCGGCCCCTTCGTCTCTGGGCACTGCCCTCCCCATTCGCCAGAAAAAGCGGAGTGCAGGCCCTGGCGTTCGATTCCCTCCCTCGTCTTTTCCTCTCCTCATTTTCATCGGTGTCACTGCCCTCCTGCTACTGTCGCTCCTGCCTTCTCTGCTCCCTTTCCCTTCCCTTCCCCCTGCCCCCCCAGTCGCTCTTTCCTCACGCCTGGGTGGTGTCGTTTGTTCCTTACCACTTTGTGCCTGTTGAAAGTCACCTCCTCGCTCCTTCCCCAGTCTTCCTGTCCCAGTCACAGAGTCAGTCCCAGACCCATCCGCTCCTTCTCCTCTTGCCCCGTCTCCTTCACTTCTACGGACCCTCGACTTCTTTTCTACAAACTGCCACACCCCTTCCACTTTTCTCACGTCCGGCATCCACCTCTCTTTCCTCTCACTCCCTGTTCTTTTGGCACATTTTGACCTCGTTCTGTTGGCTGTTGATTTTTATTCAGAGAACAGATCAGACTTGTATGTCCATTCTTCAAACCGTACGCACCATTCGCAATGTCCTAGCCTCTGGCTGTCTCGCCCTGCTTTCGCTTTACGTCTTTTTCCGACTCCCTCTTTTTTTCCGGCAATCAAACTCGCAACGATCGGCAGCAACGCCCGCCCTTTGCCTGTCGCCAAAGAACATCTCACGATTCTTGTCACAACGTTACTCGCCTTGTCTCTTCCGCACTTTCTCGAGCGGACAAGTGACAGTGACGACGCAGACGTACTGGAAAACGACGACGCCCTACGAAACGGAAAGACGCATCGAAAGGAAACCGACTTTTTGTCATGCAAATTTTGGCCTCGACACGACACGATTTTCGATCTGTCGACTTTGAACCCACCCGACGACGCAAGTAATTGACGACGATTGAATTGACGACCTGTTGACGACCTGTTGACGTCCTGTCGACGACTACCTCGCACGACCGAACCCGTGCCACTCTTTGTTTCCGACCCTGACGGAACTGGACGACGCTCTTTTGACGCGGACGACGACTCTCGACGACCATCTCGACGACCGTCTCGACGACTTGACTATCTTTGACGGTCCTGGAGTTTTTATCATCCCCTTCAATGCGGATCTGCACGCGCCGCACCTTGCGTCTGCCACCCGCACGATCCCAGCGACCATTGTAGCCGGTTTCGTCTCGTTTTCCGGCCCTGTCGCCACGTCCGGAACACCTGCCCGACGACACGACTGATACGGTGTCACCGGTTCTCACCAACGCGCCCCTCCACGGCGTGTCCCTTCGCCATGGCGATCTTCGCCATGGGTTGGCGAAAGCCCGACAACATTGCCGGCTCCTCTGCGCAGGCAATCATGGTCGGGTTCTTCGTCGCAACCGGCGGCCTCCTCTTCGGATACGACACCGGCTCCGTCAACGGCATTCTTGCCATGGAATCCTTTCTCTACCAGTTCGCGGGCGATGGCAGCGTACAGCGCACGCCCGATTCAACACCACCGCCATTACCCGTCAGCCAACAAGCCATCATCGTCGCCATGCTCAGTGTCGGCACCGTCGTCGGCGCTCTGTTGGCCGCCCCCAGTGGCGACTACTTTGGCCGCCGCAGATCCATGATCGCGTCCGTCGGCGTCTTCGTCTTTGGCGCTATTTTCCAGATTTGCTCGACGAACATCCCGACATTACTCGTCGGAAGGTGCGTTGTGTTCTCTCTCTGCCATTGTTGTTGTCTCCCTGTTCTCTCCTGTCCTTTTTATGCTCTCCGTGCATTGCCCAAGCTCGCCGTGATCCTGTCTACCTCGTCCCGCCAAGTCATGACCAACATCTAATACTGTGCAGATTCTTTGCGGGCGTCGGCGTCGGAACCATATCGGTTCTCGTGCCGCTCTACCAGTCTGAGATGGCACCCAAGTGGATTCGTGGTACCCTTGTTTGTGCTTACCAACTCTTTATCACAATCGGCCTCCTCGCTGCCTCCATTGTCAACATCTTGACCTACAAGTTGAATGGATCCGCAGCCTACCGCATCCCCATGGGCCTGCAGCTGACATGGGCCTGCGTCTTGACTCTGGACCTGCTTGTCCTCCCCGAGACCCCACGCTACCTCGTGAAGCGTGGTCAGAAGGAAGCCGCCGCATTGTCGCTGAGCCGGCTGCGGCGCCTCGACATCACCCATCCGGCCCTTATCGAAGAGCTGGCCGAGATCATTGCCAACCACGAGTACGAGCTGGCCCTTGGCCCGGACACATACCGTGACGCCTTCTTTGGCTCCCCCCACCTGGGCCGCCGCACACTGACCGGCTGCATCCTGCAAACTCTGCAGCAGCTGACGGGCATCAACTTCATCATGTACTATGGCACCAGCTTTTTCCGCCAGGCTGGCCTGGGCAACGCCTTTACCGTATCGCTGATCATCAACGTCGTCAATTCCGTCTCCACCATCCCCGGCCTGTTTGTGGTCGAGTCCTGGGGTCGTCGTAACCTGCTCATGATCGGCGCCGCCGGAATGGCCGTCAGCCAGCTGATCGTCGCCTCCTTTGCTACGGCCGCGCCATCGGACATGGCCCAGACGTCGATGCAGATTTTGGTCATCTTTGTGGCCATCTACATCTTCTTCTTTGCTGCATCCTGGGGCCCCGTGGCCTGGGTTGTCACGTCCGAGATCTACCCTCTCAAGGTCCGCGCCAAGTCCATGTCCATGTCGACTGCGGCCAACTGGATTCTCAACTTTGCCATTGCCTACGGGTCGCCGTTTTTGGCTGGTGATGGCCAGGGCTCCGCCCAGCTCGGCTCCCGCGTCTTCTTTGTCTGGGGCTCTTTCTGCATTGTCGCCATTGCCTTTGTGTACTTTATGGTGTACGAGACCAGCAAGATCAGCCTCGAGCAGATTGACGAGATGTACGAGCGGGTGCCCAAGGCGTGGCAGAGCAAGTCGTTTGAGCCCAGTTGGAGCTTCCAGCAGATGCGTGACTTTGGCTTCTCGGAAAGTGGCATTCCACCCGAGGAGATGACCGATGACGCAAATGGCAGCCAGACTGGCCACGGCGGCGACGACCACGGCGACGCGCCGCCGCAATACACACCCCACGCAGCAGCAGGAGGACCGACGTCGATGGCAGCAAACACTGCATCCATGCAACCGAATATCCCCGCCACCCCCGTTCCCGCCTACCGGCAAAACAACCCACACCGCCGCCCGCCACCGAATACGCCGGCACCAACAGCAACAGAACGCTCCGATACGATCAGCACAAGTACATCCTCAACAACAGCCGTGTCGTCATCATCTTCGTCTGATGCTGACAAGATGCTGGCCACCATGGCCCATGTTGACTTGTCTTATTAATGAAGAAAAGAGCGTGATATAGCATTGCCGAATCCGCTCCTGGCTCTTCCTGAACGTTTACGACACACTGTTTTGCATTTCATTATACCCTACTACTTTGTCAGTTCCTACGAACGACAAGGCATGTTGTTGCTGCTGCTCCTGCTTTCTTACTTTGCGTCCTCATACGTCACATCTGGGTTTTATCGGCACCGGCGAACACAAAAGGGGAATTCGATACCTTTCTGCGCTCTTTCCATTTTGGTTATTTCTCTTTTTCATTTTTTTTTTTTGGTTACGCCTTCTTATTAATTTTTGTTCGGCCTACCGAATCGACATACCCACTCGTTTCCCCTACCAACATATACTATATTATATTCCCCCTTCTTTTATATAGTAGCTACTGCCTTTCCAGGACAAGCCTCTCTTACCTTACTTATTATTTCCTTATGTCTTAATTGTCTCTGTTGGGTATTGCTAGCGTTGGAGTTTTTATGATCAATCTCAAAAGGAGTTCTATTTACCAGGGGACACAGTCAGGAGAACTGGAGGACAATATTACTACTATTTTCATCAATTTATTTTGTGTCAAAGCTTGCTCTTGCCCGACCGCGATCCATACTTACGTGCAACCACGACTGTCTACAACTGGTGGAGGCTTTCCCCACTACCATTCACGAAAAGCGTCTATTGCTTTCGTTTGGCATATATCTTTTTCAATTGTTGTGGATACCTCATTGTCCTTTCATACGCACGCACACGCACACACAAACACGCAGAAATACTCTCTCATACCATCATTACTATTCATTGTCACATTGAATGATGATAATACGTTTGTTTCAACGTCATGCAGCATTTAATTCATAAAGCCAGGCCCGTTTCGACAACATCTGGTGATTTCAGCCGAAAGTCGCGCCGGGGAACGTGCGCTTAGAACGGCACCGTCTCGGTGAGGTGGTGAGTGCCAGTTAATTGCCGGTTTTATTACAGATGTCACCGTCTACGACCACGACTGTTTTCTGTACGAACCGATCCACGGAGAAAGTATGATCGTCACAGGCCACTCGTCGCTTGCACAGCTGTTCCGCCCTTTCGGAAGTGCACACTAGCAGGGCATGGGCCTTGTGTTCGTCCAACGACAGGACTGCCATGAAGAAAGACTGCGAGCAAATCCCCGAAGGGAACAGGAGGTTGGAGTGAACGGGACAGGATGGAGAAATCGGCCACCCCCAGTGCAGCCTTTTTTCCCTTTGCAATGCCTCTCTTGCATGACGATAGGCAGTATGTACTCGGTGCATGGCCATCTCTCCGTTCCTATGTCGACCGACCGCCGACATCTCCTCCCCGGGAGTAACAAAGGCCGCGGCTCTATACCTTTACTCACCCTCCCGAAACGGCCCTTTGTGACCCATGTTCCGCATTCCCAGCCCATCACCATGCATCGCATATCGACCGGCGCTTTCCCCGAACAGGGCTTGTTTTAGCACTTTTCCCAACCTTCCTCGCTGTCTTTTCGTGACTGTTTTTCTACATTGTATGGACACACGACCGAGTTACCTCCATAAGGTTAATGCGCCTTTCGTCCCCTGGCATGGCCAGCAGAATTAAAGCCGACAAACGGCCACGGTGTGCTGCACGTCGGCTCTTCTCGTTTTGACTGTCAGGTCCGTCATACTGGGCCATGCCTTGGCGAGGAACGATGACACTCCTGCTGTGCCCATCGGTCCTATTGTTATGCTTATGCGGTGCATCGAGGCAAGCGGCCGAGGCTTCACCTAGCGAGGAGCACCACGATCATCGCATGAGCTTCACCACAGTTCTACGGTTCCACCAGCCTTATTATCTAGTCGTCCTTTCCCGGCAAAATCAACGCAGAAGAATTATCAACAGTGAAAACGCGGGGATAGGAAGGTCTGGGGACGTGAGACCAGGAAGTAGACGATGAGAAATCAGGATAGGGCCGACGCACGCCCGCTCGCTACGCGGCTGCAGCACACCGTCCACGGCGATGGAGACACGATTGAGACACACCACACTAGTGTTTATTTCTAATGGCCAATTATGCGGCACTCGCATCGAATTGACCATTGTCCCGCCCAGTTGCCATGTAGACGTCGTTGGCGCTTGTCCGCTGTCCACTACTTTGCACAATTATTTCGTCCCTTTGAAAGTCTTTGTTCCCCAGACTGGAGCACACCAACCACACCCAATCCGAAGCTACTGAAGTAGTGCGTCTGGGGAAAATCATCCAAAAATGTGAGTGGATCCTCGCAGGTCCCCATGCTCACCTGGCAGCCAGTACCACCCCCTCTTTCTCATCGGCCCGTTGTGTTCTTTTTCTTGCTCCTTGTTTCCCTGCGCCGTAACAAATATAGCGTCCTTTGTCAAGACCAAGACGGAGTACGGTCCTTTTCAAAATAACGTATCGAGGATGCCCGTTTTACTTGCTTTGCATGGGCAGTCCTGCGAGTGTGCGTCCCATCGTCGGCTCCGTCCTGTTCGTCTCGGCCCTGTTCGTCTCGGCTGGCGCTTCGTTTCTGGGGATCGGGGAAAGTCAATAACACCAGGCTTGTCTCCTTCAGCTGTCTTAAAAGCAGTGGTCCGGCTCCGCTGATTGTCGGAGCCCACTGCGGAGACCCCGGCGAAGCAGATTCGAAGTCGCTCCGCATGCGCGGAGTACCAGCGACTGCCGATCTTCTGTCAACCCAAACGCAGCTTGAAGGTATCTTATTCGCCAACGCTTCTCAGAGAAATGAAGCGCCTGTTATTGGTGCATTGCTCTCTCCGACGATCTGCCAAAACACAGTCGGACGAGTCTTTGGGTTCCATGGCCGCCGACATCCTCAAGATCATCACAAACATGACTTTTGCATGCCGTATTTGTTTCTCTCATGCCACGCGGCTCATACACCCATCTCACAGGAGATTTTCGTCTCATCCGTTGCGATCACTTGTGAGACACGGCAAGAAGCACATCAAATGCCACGTGCCCGGGTTGTCGACGGGCAATGTCGTAGAGTCGCAGGGTGTATTCGCATGTCGTGGTCCATGCACAATACTGGAATGTATTAACAGCCGCCCAGTAGGCTGTTATCACCACTTTTGTATAAGCATGTTTTCGCTGTTATTTTCGCTTTACTTTTTTCTATTTTTTGTTTCCTTCCTATTCTCGGCAAGCTCACAACGCGAGAACAGATGGTTCGTCATGGAAGGACCACATCAAGGAAGGAGCACTTCACAGCCTGGCTCTTTCCCCATGCCGTGCTATTCGTTGCTCATCGTTCTTGCCGAAGCAAAATCCGACCAAGCGTGATGGGAAAGAGCTACAGGCACAACAAATAAAGCAAAATGGACTAAAAACAAGTAGAAAACAGAAAGGAGTCGCCGTGGGAAAGAGGCGTGGAAGCACCTGCCGTTGTAAAAAAACGGGCAAGAATGCAGGGGGTTGTCCCACATCTCGCCGCAGCCAGAACTGCCCCAAAGTACATGTCGTCATCTGTCGCCGGACAACAACAACAACAATAACAACAAGGTCGACGACGACAATAACAACAAAGAACAGCAACGAACAAAGAAACGTGTACCACACACGTCGTGCGACATTACCGGCTGCCAACACCTAGTGCCCAGAGTTGGGATGGCTGTCCAACGAACGCCCGTTTGTACCTCTGGCGTAGTTCGGCTTATGTCGATCTTCATCGATCACTTTGTGCCATGTGCCGTGCACTTTGGTGGCGACGACGACTGCAGGCTCTGTCCCGCCGCCACCGACAGAGGCGGGCCGATTGCCCCGCCTTCCGGTGTTTTGTTTAGCAATGCCGGGGCGTCCAGCAACTGGCAAGCTCTCGTATGACGTCTTTACGTCTTTGATCGCTTTTTGACCTCTTTTTGAGCTCTTTTGAGCTTTCCTGAGCTCTCGTTGACCTCCTATATAGCCCTCTTCCTATAAACCCCTACTGCCTCCTCAGCCGTGTTCCTCATTGTTGCACGCTCGTTGCGCTTGAACCCTACTGAGACACGATCGAGACACTGCGTCTGTGTTTACTGTCTTCCGATCCCCCGGAATTTTGGTGTCCTTTTGAGGAGCTTCACAGCCCAACATCCTCGCGGGCTACGAACATGGTCGCTACGTCCACCGTGCTGGCCGGTGCTTGGTGGGTGGCTGCGGGCCTCTGTGCCTCCGATAGTACGGCCACGGCCACGAGCTCGGCCGTCAGAGCCCAGTTCACTGTCCCCGAGTCAGCCGATGTCGGCCAGAACTTGCTGCCCTGGATCAACGACCCTGAGGCCATCGACCCGCAGGCTGTGTGCCCTGGCTACATTGCAACGGCCGTGACCTCGAGCGGTGGTCACCACCACGACAGCCACGGCCGCGATGCCAACACCACCGCTTCGGGCGTTGGTGCTACCTTTTCCGCCTACCTGGACCTCGCCGGCGAGCCCTGCCACGTGTACGGCAACGACGTCGAGCACCTGGTGCTGACGCTCGAGCTGCAGGCCGTCGACCGTGTGCGTGTCAACATTGCGCCGCGCTACATTGGTGCCCAGAATGCCTCCTGGTTCGAGCTGCCCGAAGTGCTGGTGCCCACACCGTCCGGGACCTACTCACCGCCGGCCGCAACGTCGTCCAGAGCCGTGAGACACCACGCAGCTTCCGGGGATGCAGCTGCCGGCGGCTCGCTGACGCAGTCGGACCTGGCATTCAGCTGGTCCAACTCGCCCACGTTTGGCTTCGCCCTCACCCGCATCTCCACGGGCGACGTTCTCTTCTCGACCAACGGCACGAAGCTTGTGTACGAGGACCAGTTTATCGAGTTTGTCTCGCCCCTGCCCGAGAACTACAACCTATACGGCCTCGGCGAGGTGATCCACGGTTTCCGTCTCGGCAACAACCTGACGCGCACTATATTTGCCGCCGATGCGGGCGACCCCATTGACGGAAACATTTATGGCAGCCACCCATTCTACCTGGATACGCGCTACTTTGACAAAGCCACCGGCAAGTACGCTGCCAACGCCACGGCCGGTTGCAGCTCGTCGCCGACCGCGTACGAGTCCTACACACATGGCGTCTTCCTCCGCAATGCCCATCCCCAGGAGGTGCTCCTGCGCGAGTCCAACATCACCTGGCGTGCGCTCGGCGGCGAGATCGACCTGTACTTTTACGCCGGCCCCTCTGCCCCCGACGTCATGCAGTCCTACCAGCAGACCACCGTCGGTCTTCCTGCCCTGCAGCAGTACTTTGCCTTTGGCTACCACCAGAGCCGCTGGGGCTACGAGAACTGGACCGTCCTGCAGGGCGTCGTCGACAACTTCAAGGCCGCCGACATCCCGCTCGAGACCATCTGGACGGACATTGACTACATGAACCAGTACCGCGACTTTGACAACGACCAGACGCGCTTCGGCTATGCCGAGGGCGCCGACTTCCTCCGCCGCCTGCACACCAATGGCCAGCACTACGTCCCCATTGTGGACTCGGCCATCTACGTGCCCAACCCCAGCAACAAGAGCGACGCCTACCCCGTCTTCGACCGCGGCGTCGCTGCCGACGCCTTTCTGCTCAACCCCAATGGCTCGCTCTACATTGGCCAGGTCTGGCCGGGCTACACCGTCTTCCCCGACTGGATCGGCGCTGTGCTCAACGGCTCCGGCGCCTTTGGCTGGTGGACCAACGAGGTCGTCAACTGGCACAAGAACGTGTCCTTTGACGGCATCTGGATCGACATGTCCGAGGTCTCGTCGTTTTGCGTCGGCTCCTGCGGCAGCAACAACCTGACGCTCAACCCCGTCCACCCCAGCTTCCTGCTGCCCGGCGAGCCCAACAACCTCATCACCCAGTTTCCCGAGGGCTTCAACATCACCAACAGCACAGAGGCGTCGTCGGCGTCGTCTGTCGCGTCGTCGCAGGCTGCGGCCACCTCGACGCCCGCCTCGCCGTCGACGAGCACCACGTACCTCCGCACAACGGCGACGCCCGGCACCCGCAACGTCAATTACCCGCCCTACGTCATCAACAACGTCCAGGGCGACTTGGCTGTGCATGCCGTCAGCCCCAACGCGACGCACCACGGCGGCGTGCTCGAGTACGACACCCACAACCTCTACGGCCACCAGATTCTGAATGCCACCTACAATGCCCTGCTGTCCGTCTTCCCCGGCAAGCGGCCCTTCATCATCGGACGCTCGACGTTTGCCGGCTCTGGTAAATGGGCTGGCCACTGGGGCGGCGACAACACCAGCTTGTGGGCCTACATGGTCTTTTCCATCGCCCAGGCGCTCTCTTTCTCCGTCTTTGGGGTCCCCATGTTCGGCGTCGACACCTGCGGTTTCAACGGCAACTCCGACATGGAGCTGTGCGCCCGCTGGATGCAGCTGTCTGCCTTCTTCCCCTTTTACCGCAACCACAACACCCTGAGCGCCATTTCACAGGAACCCTATGTGTGGGCCGCGGTCGCCGACGCCTCGCGGACTGCCATGGCCATCCGCTACAGCCTGCTGCCGTACATGTATACGCTCTTTGCCGACGCCCACGACACCGGCGCCCCAGTCATGCGGGCCCTGGCCTGGGAGTTCCCCACCGAGCCCTGGCTGGCCAGTGCCGATCTCCAGTTCATGCTGGGCCCGGCCCTGCTGGTCACACCGTGTCTCGAGCAGGGCGCAACGACGGTGAATGGCGTGTTCCCGGGCGGTTCGAGCAGCGGCTCCGGCAGCTCCGGCAGCTCTTCCGGTTCGGCTTCGGACACGCTCTGGTACGACTGGTACAACCAGACCGCCGTCAATTCGTCTTGGGTGGCGCCTGGCAACAATGTCACCATCGACGCGCCCCTTGGCCACATTCCCGTCTTTGTCCGCGGTGGCCACGTCCTGCCCATGCAGAAGCCCGGCATGACGACTGCCGAATCACGCGCCAACGATTGGAACCTACTGGTTGCCCTAGACGCCAAGGGCGGCGCGGTGGGCAAGCTGTACCTCGACGACGGCGAGAGCGTGCACCCCAACGCAACGACCTGGGTGCACTTTGCGGCATCGTCGGGCCAGCTGACGGCGACGTCCACTGGTAACTACACCTCGAGCGGCAGCAGCAGTGGCAGTGGCAGCGCCCCTGCTCTGGCCAACGTCACCATCATGGGTGTGGCCTGCCAACCATCCAACGTCTCGTGGAATGGCACTGCCCTCAAGAACACCCAGTGGACCTACGGCAAGAGCACGCAGCTCCTGCAGGTCACTGGCCTGCAGGACAGCACCAGTGCAGGTATCTGGGACGGCAAGTGGAACCTGTCCTGGGCATAGGGCGTCGGCGAAGACGTCCAGTCTAGGATTTTGGCTGAGATGGAGTAGCAACGAATTTTTCACCTAATGAACCTCCTTTCGTTGGAACGGTTATGCTCGACTTTCTTTCCTTGGTTCGCACGGTTTTGGACACTCCTTCCTAATGCTTTAGTCTAAACAAAGTCGTTCCGTTGCATGCCAGCTCATCTTTAAATAGATTTCATATTTATTTCGGTCGTAAAATAGGCAATATGAACGGAGAACGTGCATTTGCTTGGTCCCATTGTTCCTTGCGTTTTTGTCCCTCAAGAACCGAACTACAATGCAAGCAACATCTTTCATGTCTCAGAGAAGATTGTCCTGCTGCTGCTTCTGCCGCCGCAGCTCGTCCCGGAAGGCGTTGCCGGTACTGCCGCTGTCGTTGTTGGCCCGCGGCCGGTTGGCGTCATCGAACCGCTCGTCCGTCGGCGTGCCAGCCAGGCTGCCAAGATCGCTGTCGCGGCGGGGCCGCTGGGGCGCCGACCAATGGTCACCCGAAAGCGTCAGCGTGGGCGGTCCACCGGCGGGCGCTCCACGCGGCGCATCGGCATAGGGCGACGACGGCCCACGGCCACCAACATTGGTGTTGGACCACGACATGCCAAAGTCGTCGTAGCCGTCGTCGTTGCCGTCGTCGTTGCCGCGGTTGCCGCCGCTGCCGCTGCCATTCTTGCGTGCTTCGCGGTTCTGCAGGTCAATCGCGTCCTTGCTGTCCAGGTTGACGGCGCCGACACGCTGGCGCCTCGACTTGCGCACACCATAGCCCTTGGATTGCCCGAGCTCGCCCAGCTTGCCAAACCGCGAGCGGCCCATGACGTTGCCAAGGCCGATGCGGCGCGTGCGGTGGTTCCAGATGCACGTGCCAATCAGCATCAGGGCAACGAAGCCCAGAATGCACGGCAGACCAATGTAGAGGGCCATCCCCGACGGCGCCTCGGCCGGCTTCTGGCGGTACGGCTGCGGGTTGGCCACGGTGACGACGGGGCCGGCAACGTGCGTGCTGTTGTTGCCCGTGGACAGGTAGGCCATCGAGATCCGAATGTTGACACCTGCCGAGGTGGCACCGGAGAGCAACGACTTCTCCACGTCCCACGCGTAAAACGACCAGCCGGCCGCAAGGGTGCCGGACGAAAAGGCCTGTGTAGTGATGGCGCCCGTGGTGTCGTTGAAGAAGTTGCCTGTAATAATGACGGTCGTGTTGGGCATGGCCGAGAAAAAGCTGGGGTCCCAGGTGACTGATGGGGTGTTAGCCATGTTTGCCAGATGAGCCACATTTTCCTGTATCCTGCCGTCTATGGTTTTTCTATGTGCAAGCTCACTATACGCAACGTACCGTAGTATGTGATGCCTGGGTTCAGGGTGGTGCCGTTGGACGGCGCGCAGAATGGCGCGAGGTCGCCGTTGGCATTGTTGCACACGGGGAACGAGCCGGCGCCGTTGGTGGCCGTGGCCTCGGGCTGTTCGGTGGAGGAGGCCGTGCCGCTGACAGTGGGCTTGGCCGAGAGCACGGTGGGCGTGCCGCTGATTGTCGTCAGGAGGGGCGTGATGGTCTTGGGTGTGCCGTTGCTGTCGACCGACACCCAGGCGTTGGTGGGTGCCAGCGGGGCTGTCGTGGTATCAGCAGCAGGAGCCGGGACCGGCGCTGGAGAGGCATGGACGGCGCTGGCCGCAGCCAGCATGGCCGCCAAAAGACGGCGATATGAAGGCATTTTGGCGTTCGAGATGTCGATTGTTGAAGAAAGCGTCGGATGTAGAGAATGATGTAGTGTAAACAGAGAATAGCGATTGGGCACGCGTTTCGAAGCAGGCCGCAAAACGCAAAAGAACAAGACGCGTCAAAGTCGACGCAAGTGGTATATCGTACACGTCGTACGCGATGATGCTGGAAAACGAAGGGACGTGCTTGAAAAAGCGACTGGGGAAGAAACCCGCAAGATGCGCAGAGCTGCTGCAATGAACGAGTGGTGCAACGAAGCTCAGCGAGCGCGAACTGGTATCGACGCAGCTGGGGAAAGCAACAAGGAGAGGCCGAGAGGGAGGGACAAACGTGACGAACGCAAAGCAACGAAAACGAGGGAGAAGAAAGAGAGACAAAACGAAAAGAAAAACAAGGACGTGATGTCCAGGAAAGGAAGAGTACGGCGAAGAGAGCGTTCCTGCCGCCGCTCACCACGAACCGGGGATTGGCGCGGAAGTCGCGCGTTGCAGTGGCTCCAACATACCTTCCCCCTAATTAAACTTTACAAGCCCGCAGTTCAGAAAGAATGGACACAGTGGAGACGGAGACTTCGGTCGACTAATAAAAAAGCTTCCCTTTACGGCAAGAGCTAGTCACATTGCGAGAAAATGGCAGGCACGCATTTTACCCCTTTTCTGATTTGCTCCGATCGCGATCGCGAGGCAAGAGCGACAGCGAGAGAACTACAGGGTAGCACAACGGCAGGAACGAACAAGGCAAAGTGTCCAGAGTATCTGCAAATCCGCAGCAAATGTCACGTCGAAAAAACAAGAATGCAATTATCCGGGAAGAAAATGTTGGAGAATAACAAAAACAAAACGCAGCCTATGTGTCTATATATACAAAGCTCATGCCCGTGCAGATTTTTGTTTCAAAATATCAACTCCGTTCACCTGGTGGGCAGACGGCCTGCCGGCCGAGCCCGGACAGCCTGCATCGCCTAATGCCGCCGCTTCTTTTTCTTCTTCTCGCCAAAGGCCTCGTCGTACACCTCGGCCACCGTCGTGTCGCCCGGTTTCCGCTTGGACGACGGCGCCTTGCTGCTCTTGATGCTCACCGTCGTGCTGCTGCCCTTCTTCGTGCCGCCGCCGTTCTGCATGGCCGCGGCCACCTGCCGCTCGGCCTCCTCCCAGCCCGGCACATCACCCTCCTCGACCTCGTACTGGTCGAGGGGCAGGGCGTTGATCAGCTCGCGCTGCTTGCGCCGGCGCACCTTTTCCTCGTCCTCATCGTCGCTGGCCACCTCGTCATCGTCATTCTCATCCTCGTCCTCTGCAACACCCAAGCTCTTCTTGCCGGCCTTGGCGTTGAGCTCATCCGCAATCGACAGAGACAATGGCTTGAACTTGTCGTCCACCACCTCGTCGTCGTGCACACCCGTTGCGTCCGCGCGAGACACGCCCAGGGGACCGCGTGCTGCGCGCGGCATCTCGGCCTCGACGGCGGCGGCGACAATGGTGGCAAAGTGGCTCGTGACCTTGCGAAGAATCTTGATGAACATGGCCATCAGCTGCGAGACGGGCAGCGTCAAGTCGGCCGACACCGTGTCCATGTCCTTGCGCTGCAGACCGATGCCCAGCAGGATGCCCTGCATGACACCCGTGAGCTCGACACCGGCCTTGGTGTTGCGCCCCTCGCCATTGGCAGCGGCCGCAGCCACACCCGGCAGCTTGGGCGCGCCCAGCCGGCCCGTAAAGTACAGGTGGGCGACCGTCGGCACCAGGTCGAGAATCAGATGGTAGTCGAGCATGTTGTTCGCATACGACTCCAAGCGCTTCAGGTCAAACGGCGTCAGCAGCGCGTCCAGTTCGGCCTTGGTCAGGGCCGGCGGTGCGCCGCCGTGGGCAGCGTCGTCCTGGTCGGCGAAGCGTGCCGCACCAATGCGCGCGGCCTCACTGATGCTCAGTGCAAACACAGAGCTAAAGTCGCGGAACTGGAAGGACAGCAGCGACAGGTAGCGCCGGTGGAAGTCGCGCGAGAAGGCGCCCAGCCACGAAGCGTCGCCGCTCGTGGCGCTGGACTCGAGCGGCCGCAGCATGACACACGTGTGCTCGCCCGTCAGCTCGTTGGCCGTCTGGCGCAGGTACACGGGTGCAAACGAGGCGCGCTTCCAAAACTTGAGCAGTTCGCCCGTCAGGCCGTAGCTGACACCAACGTAGTCCAGTGCGGGCGGCCGGCTCTCAGACAGGCGCGAAAACAGCGGCGGCATCGACTGGATGTCGCGCACCTTGACATTGTCGTCTTCGAGCAGCGAGGTCTGCGCCAGCTCCGCGTCGGTCACGCGCTTCATGGTCGCAGACGCGCCGTGGTTCTCGAGGGTGTCCAAGTCCGCCTCCGACAGGTTCGTAAACTTGCCGCCGTAGTGGTCGCACAGCAGCTCCAAAGCGCGCGCCCCGTATCCGCTGCGCACGTAGTTGGGGTTTGTGGCGATGCGGACAATGCGTGCGCCGGACAGCGACGCAAAGCCGTCGTCCTGGAACTGCTGGCTCACGAGCCAGGGAATCAGGTCACCCGCGGGGCGCGTACCGCGGCTGAGGGCATTGAGCACGCTCTCGCGGCTGATGCGGCCTTCAAGCGCCACCTGGATGACACAGAGCGGCTCAGGCAGGCGGCTGCTGTCCTCGGAGATGGGCGGCACCAACACGAAAAGCTCGTGGGCGGGGGCGTCGCTCATCAGCTGCAGATCGTCGGGCGTGTTTTTGTAGTGACTGGAGACGTAGAGGGCGACCATTTGCTGGAGGAAGCGCTCGGACACGGCGTGGAAGGAGAAGAGGGTGTCGCGGTTCACCTGCAGGAGCTCGCACGACGACGGTGCTGGGCTGCCGCCCTGGGCACGCGGCAACTTGGCGTCGAGACACAGCACGGTGTTGAGCCAGCTTTCGACGGCGTCGCCCTGGGCGTACCGGATGGGCTCCGAGAGTGTGATTTCACGCAACGTCCGCGCCCCACCGAGGCCACCGCCCTGGTAGTCGAAGGGATCTTGCACCTTGGCGGCGCGGCCCGTCGACCGGTCAGCCACGGCGGTCTTGCTGTCCTTGGACGCGGGCCTGCTGCCGCCACGCGATTGCTCACGCAGCTGCTTGATCAGCTTGAGCGACAGTGAACGACCGGTACCCTCGTACCCGTTAATGGTGGACGCCATGAAGACGAGGTACGGGCCCATGAGCTTGCGCACAAGCGGCAGCGGGATGGCGGCGGCCTCGTCAATGACCAGCAGCTCGGCCTGGCCCAGAACGTGAGCGTCCTGGGGACGGATGTACTGGATGGTCTGGCGGTGGTTGCGGTGGATGTTGACGCGGACAACGGGCTTGTTGGCGAGGTCCGGGTTGGTGGACTGGATGATGGTGTAGTCGACGTGGTCGAGGTAGCCGAGGGCATCGAAGCCGCGGAAGACAAAGTCGAAGAGGGTCTTGAGGTTCTCGGGGGAGGGCGATGTAATGAAGATGTTGGCATAGCCGTGCGCCACAGCGGCAGCCACGGCAACACCCATGGCGGCCGACTTGCCGCGACCGCGGGCGGCCGTCAGCGCCACAGTGCCCTGCAGGGACTTCTCGGCGAGGGCGTCGGTGAAGGTCAGGAGGGCCTGGGCCTGGTCGAGAGTGCGGGCGAGGGGCACAAGGCTGCCGATGGGTGGGGTGTCGCTCAGCGAGTCCTTGAGCTCGGCGAGCTTGCGTGTGTTCTCGGAACGCGAGCCGCCCTCGCCGCTGCCATCCTCGTCGTCGTCGTCGTCGTCGCTCGGGGGTGGCAGCGGCTTGACCTCCTTGCCCTGTGATATGGGCAGCACGTTGAGCTCATCGTCAATAACGAGGCAGGCGTCGCAGCCGCCGAGCGACAGGATGAAGCGCTCGTTGAAGCGCGGCACGACGTCGGTGTGGGCTTCGGTGCGGTAGCGCGAGTGGACGTCCATGGTCATGGTGTAGAGTTGGCGCAGACTGGTCATGCTCTTGAGCAGCAGCACGACCAAGCCGCCGCCCTCGACGGTCTCGACGGTGCGGGCCAGCATGTTGGGGGTCAGGGCCTCAAAGTCCTGGAGGATGCACATGCCGTAGGTGTTGCCGAGAATCTTGTCGGTCTCCTTGTAATAGACATAGCGAATGTCATGGAGCGTGACAAACAGCTCAAAGGGGTCGTTGGTGTTGGCCTCGCGAACACCGCGCTTGACCTCCTTCTTGATCTTGGCCTCGCGCTTCTTGCGGTGGCTCGTAAAGTCGAGCAGCTTCTTCTTGTAGGCCCAGAGCACAGACTTGTTCCTGGGCGTGACACCGGCCGAGGAGGAGCTTCCGCTGGCGACATCCATGCTGGACATGATGTAGTGCAGGTGCACGATCACGTCCTTTGCGCGGTCGCCGACGACGACGAAGATGCTGCGCTTCTTGCTCTGGACGCCATTGCGGATGAGCGTCGGGATGCGGGCGTCGACGGCTTTTCGAGACATTGTGGATGTTGGGTGTGTTGTGACGAAGAAGAGAAAAGGAGGAGGGAGGGAGAGGGAGAAAAGGAGAAAAGGAGACAGGATTCTCCTGAGAACAGATGTCGTCGACAGGGAAGGAAGCAACAAAGTCCACTGGCCAAACAGGAAGGCTCACCTCACAGCTGTTTTGAATTTTCCTAGGTCGCTCTTTCTTACAGAAATTTTGGCGGAGAGTGATGTTCTGCCGGGCGGTCAAGGGGGGCAGAAATGCTGGGCTAGGAAAAGTGGGTCTACCAAAAGGCTTGCACAGTTTGATGGCAAGAACGGCCTGTATGCCAGCCGCGTTTACACGTTAAGGCGATTTATATACATAGATGTGTTTCTTGTTTGGTTTCATGATGCAATGTATGGTATTCCATCCACGTCCACCAGGACCTTTCTATCGTGTATGATGCGACAAGCGATCATGCGCGCGATGCAGGAGACGCAGGGCAAAAGAAGACTAGAAGCGGGGGCACGTCAAGGCAAGGCAAACAGCAGATGCACAAAAAGAAAGGAACAGAACAATTGGAAAGACTTTGAAAAAATGTGCAAATAAAAATAGACAATGGTTCTAAAAATAATACAGACAGGAGAGGTAAAAGAAAAGAGACTAGGTCGTGTCTGACGGTTCCCCGTAACACACGACATTCTTACGTGCGGTCAAGCTTCCGGCGCAGCACACGCGTGCGCTTCATCAGCTTCTTGTACTTCTTCTTCTTCATCCGCAGCTTTCTCTGGCGCCTGACGCTAATGGCCTCCATGCGCGGCAGGTCCGACGTGCCGTCGTGGTACGCCGACGGCAAGCGGTGCCGGCGCACAAGGCCGCTGCCGCGCGGACGCGGCAGCGCCTCCTCGGCGCCCTCCTCAAGGATCTGGGGCGAGTGGGCAACAATGCGCACCTCGCCGTTCTCGTCGAGCTGCTCCTCGATGGTCAGGATGGCCTTGAACACACGGGTGCTGCGCGGTTCGGCATCCTCATCGAGGGGGGCGGCGCTGTTGCCAGTCGACGTCAGCTCGCCGCCGTCCAGCTCAAAGGTGATGGTGCCAGGGGGCGACGAAGTAGTGTCGGCGGCGCCAGTCTCGGCCTCGGCCTCGGCTTCCCCCTCCGCCATCTCTGGCACAGGCGGCGGCGGCGGCTGGAACGGCAGGAACTGGCCCTGCAGGGTGTCGAGCTGCACGTAAATGCCGGCGTCCGAGCCGTCAGCATTCTTGAACTCCAGCTGTGAGGACGACGAGGCAGTGTTGCTCTCGCCGTTGGCGGCGGCCGCGGCGGCCGCGTCGTCCTCGAGCTGCTGCTGCAGCTGCTGGCGGGCGAACCGGGCCTGCTCCTTGGCCTGGCGGGCGCGGGAGCCACGCTGGGCCGGTTGCGTTGTCGTGGCGGCGTTGTCGTTCACAGACAGGCTGGCCATGGGGCCCTCGAGATCGTTGACGGCACGCGACAGCGTGCGGATCACCTCGGAGGACTTGTTGCGGCCGCCGGCGCGGGGCGCAAAGATGGCCGCAAAGGCGTCTTCGGACACGATCTTGGGCAGACTGTGGGTGATGGAGATGGGGCGATGCTGCGAGAAAAAGGTCGATAGGGCGAGGCTCTCGACTGGCAGGTGCTGCGTCGAGGGCACGCTGGGCAGTTTTTGCACCGACGCCCGAGAGGCGTCCTGCTTGGCCTTGCGTTTGCGCTTGAACGAGGAGGAGGAGGAGCTCGACGACGACGAGGAGGAAGAAGAGGACGAGTTCGAGGGCGTGGACGGCACACCCGGAAGGGCTTTGGAGCCGTTGTCTGGGCTGGAAGGCTTCGACGACGAGTAACGACGCTGCTGCGACGGCTGCGGCGTCAGGCTGCGGCTCTGGTGTATTGTTTGGCCGGGCTGCATCTGGCCGACCGAGGCTGCTGTCGATGGTGCTGACCAGTGGCCGGACCGCACGAGGGCAGCGGCCGCCGGTGGTGCAGCGGAAGATGACGCCACCACACGGCGAACCGAGGGAAACATGGTGGGTGGTGACGCGGCGGCGGCGACGGCGGACGAGGACGAGGAGGAAGATGAGCCGATGACAGGAACAGGGATCGACGGTGAGATCGGGGAAGACGAAAAGAAAAGAGAGTCCCAGGCGGACTCACAAAATTACCAATACCCGTCTCAGATCTCAGAACGATCGGAGAGGGGAAAATGACGGGGGTGGGAGGTTGGAGTGAGGTGGTGGTGGTTAGGCGTCCGGCAGACGGAGGATGGAAAGAGGAGGAAAAGCCGAGAAAAACAGAGAAAAGTCGGTATGTGGATGACTAGTTTTTGCGGGTTCGCTGGTCGCTCTATCTCTTTGCTGTGGTTGTAGCTTGTCCACTCACTTTTGCGGGCTTTTTGGCACCTTCCGTGGGGTTCTTCGGGCTTTGGGGGCCGTTTGATGCGAGATTTTGGGAGCATTAGGGGATGTCGACAATGGAGCGGGCGCCAAACTCGGCGGGTATAGGCTGTATTGCCAGGTATACCATCGCCTGAGGCACTCCAAATTGGCCTGTAAAAGAAAAGGTGCAGTTGCTGGCGGCGGCTAATATGTCTTGTGCAGGAGCGCGGGTAGGGGAGAAGCAGGGACGGAAGGGGCGACTTTGGAGGTGGCGCAATGCGGCCCACCAATGACAGGTGACCGCCGTCCCTGAGTGGTTTGCAACATGCCACCAACGACAGGCTGTCGAGGCTACGAACAAGACCAAGAGCGATCGCCAAAGTATACCATCGATGACCAACCGATGGGCTGCCACACAATGACCGTTTGCAGCACCAGACGACAGCCATGATCCCGTTGCTAAAAACAAGTTCGTCGCAGTGTTGCAGGTCGCACGTATGTTGTACAGTCACGCCCAAAGTGACCGGTATTGTGGTAAACTAATAAGATACGAAATTAAAAACCTCCTATGAGGCGTCCAGAATGCCTCACCGTGTCCCGGTTCCCATAAAGTCCCGTTCCTGTCATGAAAAAATGCCGCCAAAGAGGGCCTTCCCTAAATAACAAAAGCTCTCGCACATAGATGTATATAATAGGTCCTCCAATGCTATGCGCCGGTTGCATTCCCTGGTTTGTCAAGAAGAGACAAAGAAGCGAAAAAAAGACACAAGAGACAATGTATGATAAAAGAAGAGCATCAAAAGAAAAAAAATACAGTGGCACAAATGAGAAAAGAGCTTGCTTTATTCCGAGAAGGTCGAAACAAATGAACAGTTGTCATGTCGTCCAACGCCAGCAGCATGAAGATTCTAGCTGGTTGATTAAGAGATACAGAAAGAGGACGCCTGTAGCATCGCTCGGCGTCAGGTAATATATAAAACGGGCAGTCGCAATAACCTGTCCGAGTCTGGTATGTGACCAATATCCAAAAGTATGACGAATATTGGAGACCTGTGACCTGGTCGCGGGGTCGAAGAGAGTGTGCGGCTATGTGCAGGTCTCTGCGTCCAAAACAATCAGCCGTATCCGCCTTGGCTTGGCTTGGCTCGGCTTGGCTCAGCTTGGCTGCGGTTTATATACAGGCCACAATGGCTGACTGGCCAATTCACGCCGCACTGCAAGCCAAGCCAGATAAGCGATCGTAGGAATGGGAGCGTGGTCCATGCCGCGCGTGTGGTGGGTTCACGATGCCGACCTTGTCGATCACGGGAAGCCACGGTGCGAGGGGTCCTGGGGGTTGTGCGGTGGCTGCTGCTGCGGGTTCTGCTGCTGTTGCCGACGACCGGCTTCGCCACGGGCAGCGACCCACTCGGCGTTGCCGCTTTGGCGGCCGTGGACCTCAGCGGGCAGCTTGGTGTCGTCCGAGCTGCTTGTAGGGCGACCTTGGCCGTTGGCGCCACTGGGGCCGGCAACGGAGCCGGGCACCAGGCGCGTGACGGCCTGGGCGATCGAGTTGACGACGTATTGGCGCAGTTGGCGGTCCTCGGCCGAGTCTTCCTTCTCCAATCGGAACCGCTCCTCTTTGCTCATGTTCGTGCGGCGCAGGTTCTTGATCTCGGCCATGATGTAGAGCAGAACGGCCTCGGGGCACTTTGTCCGCTCCAGCGAGAACTCGCTCTTGCGGACGTAGCGCCGGGTGACGTCGGTGGCGCCGTCGATCGAAAAGGCGATGCAGTACGACATCTTCTTACCCCAGCCCTCCGTGTACAGCCGTGGGTTGTCCCAGGACTCCTCGCATGCGTCCACGTGGACCCAGCGCTTCTGGTGCGCGGAGTACACCTCAGTCCACACGTGGTCCTCCGCATTCCACACCCACCGCACGCGGGCGCCGACGGCACGGCACAACATGCTGAAGCAGTTGGCCCACTCGCCACAGCGACCTCGGCGCGTCTGCAGCAGCCGCCAGACGTCGCTATACCGCGGGAAGCGCTCGTAGGCGCCGCATGCATGGTTGGAACAACGGTACAATTCGACAAGCAAGGCACCGCATGCGCTCTCCTCGGGGGTGGGCCGTGTATTGCCTTGGCCAACGGTGAGAGAGAAGCAGACGGGACATGGCGGGTTGTTGACCCAGGAAAAGAAGGACCGCTTAAACCATCTGGAGAGAGGTCAGTCAGTATTGGTAAAAATAGGCAGCGGTCAACGAAAAGCAGGTGGCTTGCCCGACAAGGGCCGGGGGGAATCATACCTTAATAGAGCACGAACAACACAGTCCTGGTAACCCCACACAGGTTGACGGCCGTCACCCATACTCTCGGCCTCGGCACGGAAGACTTGGGACTCTTCGTCGGCCTCGCTGTATATCCGGTCAAGTGGGATCACCTGCAGCGCCTCGTCGAGCAGACCCGGGTTCTCGTATTTTAATGGTGTTGTGGACAGTGTCACAAGAAGGCTTCGAAACTGTTGTTCGCGGTCGTTTGGTGGGCGCGGGATCATCGGCAGGTTGCGTAATGAGGAGTAGGATGGCGGTGTGGGCGGGGCAACAGTAGAGGAAGACGAGGCGGAGGAAGACGACGCAAAGCTGTCACCGTTGCCGTGTGCCATGGGTGAGGCAAAGCGGTCGCCGCCGTGCGAGGTCGATGGCCGGCCGGGGGACGAGGGGTCTGCGGAGAGCGCACGTAGGTTGTTGGAGGAGGCGGCCTCGCGTGGTGACGGCGAATCGCCCCGACGTGACCGTGCTTCTGTCAGGTGGTTTAACCGACGGGTGCGTAGCAACTGCTCGAACCGCAGGCGGAGGTCGTGAGCCCATTCCTCACCGAAATCATCGTCGACGCCCGCAGGCGTTCGTGCTTGGCCAGATGCCATGATGGCGTGTGTGTGTGTGGTTGTGTGTTGAGAGGAAAGGGAAACAAAATGGATACGGCTGCTGCCTGTCGACTATGGGGAGTCAATCAGGGTCGGGAAGAGCGACGAGCCAGGCGGAGAGAAAAGTCAGCCAAAGGCAGACAACGCGCGGCTCTCTTCTAGTGGTGCCTGAAAATACGATGCGTGTATGTGGTGCCAGAAGGAGGCTGGAGGCGATGTTGTGTGTCGAAAGAGTTGTTACACAAGGCAAGAGGGAAATGCTTGCAATTGTCCACTGCTATGTCGTGGTTGGCAATTTGTGTTTCCGTCGTCTATCGCGGTCGATGCGTGGTAATGGTTGGTCGATTCCGCGCAGAGGCAGATGATGCAGCCACTACTCGTCCGCAAGCCAATGGGACAAGGTGTGCACACGCAGATGCAATGATTGCGTGGGTAGCGCAAGGATGCGTGATTCCGTGATCCGTGATCCGTGATCCGTGACCCACGATCGAGTGGAGCGTTGCTCAGATATGAAAGGTGGTTGCTGTCTCGTGGGATTTCGTTCAGTTCAATGTCGTCGTTCGGTCTGTACATATGGTTGCATCTATGTCGTAAATTCGTCTCGTTCTCTGCCGAAGTCGAAGAAGACGGGATCGCTATGCCTCAAACAAAAAAGACCAAACCGGCAACGGGCTGCAAGAAATCCAAAACGAGCGGACGCCGTGAAGAACGGAGGCAGTATGAGATATCCAAGCTGGGGCTGAAGTACTCCAGGTAGCCGTTGTTGTGTCTTGGACCGTCGAAATGTCGTCGCCGCCGGTGGATGCCGTGATTCCCTGCGGTCGTCAATGTCGTGCACCTCTATAGGATTTGATTTGCCATTCGCAGGCCGCAATTCGTCGTCGTTCCTCCTCCACGCCGTCGTGCCGCAGAGTTGTTCAAGTCAAGATCGAGTCGAATTGTTCCGGGGAGAGAGCAGCGGACGAAGGAGAAGTAAATGGAAACGAGAAAGACCGGAGAGAAGAGGCGAAGCGTCGAGACTGGGACGTCGGCAGATGTTAGACGCGGAGCGGTGGAGTCGAAGTACAAGGCGTGGATGAGAAAGAATATGGACGAAGAGGAAAAGGGAAATGCGGGTTGGGTGTGGGAGAGAAGAGAGAGGGTATGAGAAAGAGTTCGTCGCCTGGGATCAAGGCCGAGTCGTCTGTGGGCACAAAGAAGCGGAAGGAATACGAATGGAGGTTCGAGATGGGGAAAGGAAGGAGAGACCGAGAGGCAGGCAATGATGGGAAAGAAGCGTACGAAGTGCAGCTGGGTACCGTCGATGACTACCTAGCGCTGTCGTCAGTCTTGCCTTTTTGGTAGGGTTGTCTTTTTGTCTGCTGCCTTCCGAAGCGTAGGCGGCCGGAAAAAGCAGCCACGGACTGGGGAATGGGGCTGCATAGGGGGGGAAGAAGGGGGGGTGGGTGGAAACGGCCGATGGCGATGGATGGCGAACAAGCGTACGTATGCGCCTCTCCAAGGCAAGAGCGACGGACGAGCTTGCGTGTCTTGCCTTGTCTCGCCTGCTGCGCTACGCCATACTACGAGTACGACGGTGGGTTATTGTAGGAGGTCTTATTGTTTCTATTATAATTGGGCAAGATATTCTGTATGTCTAGACGAATCCCCATTTATTGATTGTCTTTTGAATTTCCCAGAATACAAAGATAGTTGTTCGTCAGGGCCTGCCAGGCGAGATGCTACAGGGCTGTCTGCCAACAGGGAA